TCATAGCCTGCTGCATGTCTTAAGGCTGATGTATACTTCCAGTCTCACATCTTGCTTACAGTCATGCATGATGGAAATTGCATAACTTTCGTCTGTTATCTCCCGCTGACACCCTGTCTTGTACATCGCCCCCAGTCAGAACTCTGTCCTACAGTTTGCATTGTGTGATTGGTCAGAACCAGGCTGGTGTGTTTGTTTACGCAAAACAGCGCGTCTTTCTGCAGGTCATGTTGTTGAAAATGGTCCGCTCCTTCAAGCATAGCATTTCCCCCAGTGTATTAAGCCCTGTCTCCATTGAGATTGTGGGCGGATCGGCAGCATGTGACTTCTGTTGTGGTGAAAAAGGAAAAAGAAACAGAAAAAAAAGATGAGGTTTTATCATCTGCTAGTCTTTTTTTCGTGGCACTGTTTATATCTGCACACGTAACGTGTGTGGCCAGTTTGTCCGAACCCTCCCGAAATACTGACTCATTTCAAATTGCTCTGTCCAGCTCAAGCTGTATGCGCTCGTCTCTTTCACCTCCCTTCAGGGAGTTTGCTGGAAAAGTTTGCAAGTTCTGTCTCGGCTCAGCCAATCCATGGGCAGAAATCTGCTGACATCAAAATCATAAGCCCGTAATACTCGGTTCTACCTGCTTAGAAACACCTTGGAGGTAGGCCTGTCACAATAAACAATAAATCAATTAATTGTCTTATGAATTGAAATGAGGAAGATAAATTAAATTGAAGACAATTTTCCTTTGCTTTCTTGTTTGTTTTCTTCACACCTCCCTCTTTTCTACTCCCTAGCGTAGAGGAGTGAACTCTGGTGTCAGGTATTTCCAGGTGCATGGTCTTTAACCTCTGTAGTATGAGAGCCCTGTGAACAGGCATTTAGCCAGAGGAGAGTCTTTTCTGACGCCTTCATACAGCTGGCCACGCCTTGGGATTGCCGACAGCTGTCTTTTCTTTTTACACTATGTAAATTTTATTGTAAAATTCCATACACAGAGGGGTTAAATCGTTTAAAATTGTTTCAACTGGTCTCCAACGATATTACCGTTTATCGCAATCAATTTTGAGACAATTAATCGCCCAGCAAAATTTGTTATCGTGACAGGCCTACTTGGAGGGTCTCCGAAAGTGCGACTGGAACCAGAAGTGGAGACCAATTTAGCAGAGGCTGAACCGAGGAGGACCGCACACAGGCTCGCCCACGAAGAGGGGATTTTATACACCATGCGGGCCGCCAGGGTTTACTTGCCTCCCCATCAGGCTAAATGTTGGTTTTGTTTTGTTTTTTTATTTAAAAAGGGGCAATATTGTGTTTCTCAGGCGTACATTTAAATACTATACCATGACAAAGTATATATGTCACCTTTAGCTGTTATTAAAATGCTGTTTTTATGTTTAAATAKAAAATAAACTCATCTTCTCATCACTTCCTCTTCTAAACACCTTGAAATTGGCCTCTGTCTCTAAGAACCACTTTCCACTTCTGTCCCGTCCATTTCGGTGCAGGGGTTGGGGGGGGCCTGCGCGCGCGGGTGGCGGGGGATTCGTGCTTGCGCTATGATGCAGTTTACTTGGCATCAGAAAATACATTTCCTCAAATTATTTTGAATCTGAAAATAGCTTCACTGAGTAAGAAGTTGTGTTAAGAGCAGCAGACAGTTTAAGTTTCACTTTCACCTTCACTCATTTGCTTTGTTACTGCCGAGAGCCTGCAGGAGTCATGGGCGGGGTGTGTGGGATGAGGGGTGAGAGGTGTGCTCCATGATGAGGAAGCTCAGTTTGGAGACACATCTCAGAGGCATCTCTGGTCCCAAAATGTGTTTCTGGTCCCCACCTGTCGTTTTGCTCCTCAGCATGGCTTCCTAAAAATGCTGCAGGATTTTTCAATCATGCATGAATGAGTCAAAGCAAGGCTTTGGGCATGTTTTTTTATGAGAGTATAACATTATAACATGATATAAAACTCAAAAAAGTTGATTTTACAAGATATTGCCCCTTTAAAACCATACAATTGCAAATTACATACTTTTAGGCTTGAGTGGTACAAGAC